CCTCCTCCTGTCTACCATCCTGAAAAGGTTCTCTGTGCTATATTGCCTCTGCGTTAAGGAGGGCAGTGTTCTGTTCTTAGCTCATCTGGTTACATAGGTAACAGTGAACTCGGTAAAACATCTGCAGCAATTTCATGCCTTCACAACCGCCCAAATACCCTCCATCCCAAACACACGCATGCAGGCACTCATCCCCCTCCCCTCTCTCCTTTCCTCCCTCCCTCCCTCCTTCTTTCCCTCCCTCTCCTTTACCCGGCCCACTGTGGGCCAAGCTGCCTCCCAAATATTGACTGTTACTGTATGCGGCTGAGTAGGGACCCGGCGGCGGGCTAATCTTGTTATGCAGGTTATACACGACCAACCTTTGGAGGAGCAACCAGCGGCTAGGAGTGTTTAGAAGCAGTTTAGCGGCACTTGAGTTGTCTGAATGAATATCAACTCCTTCGAGCTGGGGGACTTCTCCGGCCAATCAGGAGCCACTCTGCAAATACAAAGACTCCCAATCAGGCGTCGGGCCCCCTGTTCCCACATTCTTTGCCATCACAAATTGTTACCATGGGGACCATCACAAAAAAGACAGCTAATAAAATACCATCATTTCCCGGCAAATTTCTGCCCCCTTATTCTCCCCCTCCTCATCCTCCCCCCCAACACTTTTCCTTCCCTCCATCCTTTCTATGTTGGGGGGCATAGGGAGGGTTAAGAGCGGGGAGGGCGGTTCTCAAGCGCCCAGGACGCGGGCTCTGCTGATGTTGAGTGAGTGGAGAGGAGAAACTTGAGACTCCGTATTGAAGACAGCCCAGAGAGGCCTGGAGACGTGGGCGGCCATGCTCCAATGAGGCAGGACAGTTAGGGAGGGGGTAAGCTGATGAGGCTGTCCACTTTTAAGAGAGGCAGAGGCTCTGGTCTCCAGCCTCTGCGCTGACACTTGGTAGCTGTGCGATCCTGGGCAAGTCACTTCATCTCGCTGTGTATCTGTTTCCTTATTTGTAGATTAAGGGTAATAATATGGGGATGATAATAACACAAACTTCACTGGGTTATTGTGGGGATTAAGTGAGATAACATGGGTAAAGTGAAGCCCTACACAAATGCTAGCTCTAGTTAGCTATTATTATTGTTATTATTATTATCATTATTATTAAAGTGAGCCTGGACGGTCACCTCATCTTTCTGCTATCCAATTTCCTTATCGCCAGACTGAGGCTAGGTAACCCTTGGGCAAATCATTTCGCTTATCTGTGCCTCAGTTTCTTCTTCTATAATATGGGGTTAATAACTGGGTCTTGTTTGATTTTTTTTTCATCTTTCTCAGAGCCTCGATACATTTAATAAATGTTGAATTGAATTTGGTGTTGAACCTGGGCAAGTCACTTGCGGGCCTCTTGGGTCTTCGGGTGCCGTATCTGTGAAATGGGGATATTGGTTATTGTTAAGAAAGTGCTATAGAGACCTCGACGCACTCCAGGAATATGAACTATCGTTATTGTTTTTATTATTATTAAAAGCTCTCCTTCATTTTATTTTTTTCAGATGATGTGTGGGGGAGGGCAGGAGAGGAGGAATGATGTCAGAAGTGCTAGGTAAGGAAGGACCCGGCGCTCTAAAGAGTTGCGGAGATAGATATCCATGGAAAGCCGGCCTGAGCGTTGAAGAATCTTGTCTTTTATGTTTGCCCCCTCAATTGAGGCGCACAAAGGCTGAATTACCCATTCAAACTGGCCGGACAAAGGGATGGAGTTGGATAGCCCTCTTGCATTTGTAGTCAAACAGTTAGAGACTTAAATCGAGTCGTCATGATGGAGAAAGAGTTAGACAAAGCCCATAGAATTACCATCAGCAAACATTTTCCTGTGTCATATTAGCGAGTCGCCATGGCTCCCCCTGGCCCGGAGACAATAGCACAAGTTTGCACACTTGGTCACTATCACCCTGCCAACGCTGGCGAGGAGCGAAAACAGGGCGATCTTTGAGGGAGCGAGCATGCCCACTGCGGAGCCTGGACCGTGAGGGGGAAGAAAAGCGTGTGAAATGCTAATTGAGCTGCTTCCTTTATTAACCCGGAGCTCTGGGAGGGAGGCTTCCCCCGCGGCTGTGGCCTCCTCCTTCTTGTCCCCCTCCTGGTCCTCTCCCCGGCTGTCCGAAGCCGGTGGCAATAACTCAATAGCCCGGGAACCCAGGCATCTCACCAAGCGCCCGCCCTCTGGGAGAGGCGAGGAGAAATCCTGACCCGGTGAATTTCAGAAATGCCGGCAATTCCTGTAGGTGGCTCATCCCCACGCGCAAGTGAGGCAGGTGGAAACGCTGAAGGCAGGGGACTCCCAACCGGTTTCACACGGCTCCTTTCACTGATCTTATGGGAATTCTCTTTCAGGGAATGGTGGCTGGTCCTCAGTAAAGAGAGGGGTCCCTCACACAGCTCTGTGTGAGTTTGGCAGTCACTTTCTTTCTTTGAGACTCAGTTTCTCCATCTGAAAAATGAGAGAGTTGGATTAGATAGACTTCTGACGTCCCTTCCAGCTCTAAATCTATGACCTTACCGCGATCGGAAGTTCTTAACCTGGCCTCCACGAACTTAAAAAAAAAGTATCACTATTTCAACATAATTTATTTCCTAATAATAATTTGAGGGTAAGGTGATGGGCTACATGATCTCTAAGGTTCCTTCCAGTTCTAAAGTACGGTGTTCTGTGTTCTAATATTCCATGTCCTAAGGTCTCTTATTGCTTCCACATTCTGTGCTTTAACAATGTGTTCCAAAATTCCTTCCAGGGGCAACATCCTATGAACCTCCAATCAGTTCCTTTAAATTAAATTCAAAAGGAAACATCTTTAGGCCAATTACTTATTGAAAGCCAATAGGTGTGAGACTTTCTGGTCCTTTCCCCTTCAAGTAAGGGAGCATGAGGCTGAAGACTGTCAATGGGCTATAATAACTTAGAGGGAAAAAATGAAAACACTGTTGACTCTTCAAACAAAGGCCAGCCAAATCTCTAGAGGGTGAGTCTTGCCAGGTGGGAATCTTTACTGTTAATCATTGCAGGAATAGTAATGATTTTGAGAGATTAAAGTTGCAATGTGGTATTGTACAATGGAAAGTCTGCTGGATTTAGAGATGGAGGAATGGTGTTTAAATACTGCTTCTGCAACTTTCTACCTGTGACCTTGGTCAAGTCACTTAATTTAGTTACTTTATCTGTACCATGATGGGGGTTGCACTAGGTCACTTATAAGCTTCCTTCCAGTTCTGAACCTCTTATCCTATGATGATGAGGGGATTCTTAATCTGGGGTCCATGAACTTTTTTAAATTGATAATTGTATTTTAGTACAGGGTGTCCTCAAAGTCTTAGTGCAGTTTTTAGCTTTAATAGATTAAAATTGTACTTGGGGGACACCCTAAAGGATTAGTTTCCTTTGTAATCCTGTGTATTTAATTTTATTCATTTAAAAATAATATTGAAGAATGTTCCATAGGCTTCTTCAGATTGCCAAAGGAGTCCATGATAAAAAAAGGTTAAGAATCTCTGATCTGATAGAATATTTAAATATTATTAGTCATTATCCCTAGTATTTTCAGCAAACCAACGACCTTTATTAAATACCTATCGTATTCTAAACACTGTACTAGAAGTGGGGATGCAAAATTGAAAATGAAGCTCTTCTTGTCCTTAAGGGTCTTACTCTTCTGATCTACTCTGTTCTGAAAATAGCGACATACAACCTTAATATTTTTAGGACAACACTTTCATCACGGAGGGATGATTTGATATACAAGAAAAGAGAAGCAGACCATTAGAATCACAGGTTTGCTGTTTATAAACTCATAAAATGTTGGAACTGGAGTTTCAAAGCTTTGTAGCCTTGTGCTACATTCACTTTGAATCTCAGTTTCCTTTGTGTGTAAAATGGGGACAATAACATACTAGATACAGAATAATGTCAGAGCTGGGAGGAACCGTAGAGACTATCTACTCCAACTGTCTCATTTTATAGATGAGCAAACTAAGGCCTAGAAATCTTAAGTTGCCTAGGATCATACAGCTAGCTAGGTAAGTGGCAGATTCAGGTCTTAAACCTAAACTCTTGACTCTATATCTAATGTCCTCTCTTC